GAGGTGGCGGCTGTGGATGCCGTTGCTGACCTTCAAGACGTTGTAGTCCAGCCACAAGAATACTGATCTGCGACGAGATGGCATGCAGCATATGCCGGCATTCTCGTAAAAGGTCGCCATGATCCATTCCAGTGTAGAATATGGCTGGAGAGGAAGGGCGTTTCAATCAGTGGACAACTCAAACTGCGGAGGCAGCAAGCAATACGACAAGCATGCAACAAACAGCACCAAGACATGATTATGCAGCAACCCCACACGCTTTTTCCGGAAGAGGAGCGTCATGATGTATACCACGAAAACCTGGGCACAAACCACGGTGGGCCAGTGCAAAGGAGGTGTCGGACTGCATTGCCGAAGTCATTCACCAGAACATTCCCACGTAGCTGGGAACCGCAATCGATGAGCGGAGTTTCCACCTGCCATCTTTGGCGTGAATGCAATCATAGTAGTGGGAGGCAGCAATGTCGGCGTACGTGCCGCCTCGGGGAATAGTGCAATGAGGTTGCCGGAGTCTTGCAGATCCACCGATGCACATGGGGCGATCAGTGTGTATTCCCGCGAACTGAGCTGCCGCCTTGACCGTGCTTCATGAGATTGAAGGCTGCCTCTGCAGTAGAAGCCCATCGGAGGCAACCACACTTCATTCCAGTTTGTGTAGTCGCGATTGGGAAGAGGCTGTTCTTGCCATTTCGAGGGTCTGATCAGCTCCTCATCTCGCAGAATGCTGATGGCAGCCTGCATATTGGTATTATGGGCCCAGAAAAACGTCGAGTGCGACTGTGTGCGCTGCTTATCCGGTAGCAATCGGCGAGGTACGAACGAGAAGAGGATCCCGAAGAGGTTCTTCTGGGCGTTCTTCTTGTCGGGCCATGGTGATACGTCCATGTGGTCTTGCGAATATAGGGCCAGCCCTCTTCGCAGATGCCAAGCTGAACAATGAGTTGTGGCGGCAGGGACTTCAGGGAGATCCGAAATCTCCTTGACTACATGCGCCGTCCAGGGGCCTGGGATACCATGGGGCAACGGAGAAAATGGGAGTTCTGAGACGGACTTCACCCGCTGCTCGTCCCCGGCGATGCGGCATGGCTCCTGTAGACCGTCTCCCAAGATTTCTTCCACTTGTCAGGTTCAGGAAACACTAAGGTGGCAATGCAGGGCAACGTGTAGTAAAGAACACCGTCAACCAGGATGGCAATTTCCTCGATCCGGCAGCCAGTGCGGAGCGTGAAACGGTGACTGCCCAAGTCAGGTACTTGCTGGCGAACAGGGAGATGAAGCAGCTCAATCTGGTTCACAGGTGCCCTGAAGTGAGTAGGCGGCAGTGTAGGCGATCGAGGTCTCCTCTGATCATCTTGAGCGCGACGACCATCACCTTTCCATTCTCCCCAGTCCTCTTCATCTTCCGACATCCCTTGTGGTCCCGGTGTGAGCTTGACCCGGGAGCGTCGGGATCTAGGGGAGCGAGAGCGCCTCCCGATTGTATGATTGCGCACCGCTCTGATGTTGGTCGATGATCCAAGTGCTGGAACATCACGGGAAGAGCTGTGCGCCTGCACATTGTGCTGATGTACCAGGCCGTGTGTCTGGACGAAGAGTTGCATCTCATTGCCATTGATGAAGTTGGGAAGGTGATCCAGCGTCACTTGGCTCGTGGTTTGGACCGTGCCGTCTGGGCGTAATAGACTGGTGACAACATACTCCGCCATGTTCTAACAAGGGGCGCCGTCATGCAAGGGTCAACACCTCCGAGCCGTCTACATGCAGACACAACAAGACGCTCCGATAAGCAATCACAAGCGTACACCACAAGTAACACAGCAACAAGACAGCATGCAGATTTTGTCTCGAGTCGTCGCCGGACATCACGAAGGAGATGGGGATCGAAACCTTTGGCCTCATAAAGGCGTTTGAGAGCGTTAAGTCCATGTTGTTGCTGAACCGCAGGTTGTGCACCACGTATAATGAGCCACGAGCGAGAAGACCACGAAGAGTAAGTAAACATCTGATCATTGGCACTCCGAATCCCTTTAATTTGAGAGGGATGATCAGGTAGTTGTGGTGTAATAGTCCTGGACGAAGAGTCACATAGGTAACCCAGCACTTTGTCATCATCCTGAAACTCAAGCATCACTGGTGGACGATAAAATTCCAGGGAAAGAAAATTCCTGAGCACCGGTGATTGTGGGGCAGAATCACGTAGCAGGATGAAACAATTATCGACATAACGCTCGTGCCAGATCACCCCGACATCGGGCATGCGAAAACGTAAAGAACACATTGTTTGGTGCCAGAAGAAGTCCTCCACCGTGGCAACCAGATTGCAGAGAGGTGGTGCTGCAGGTGATCCCATAGCGACTCCACGTTCTTGCCGGAACAAGTAGCCATTGATCTCGAAGTGACTGTTGTCAATGACAAAGTCAAGGAGGTAACGAAGGTCTTGTTCACGAAAGGTTCGAGGGACCTTAGTTTGACGGCGCCATTTTCCTTTGAACATACGGCGTCGATGATCTGACTTCAATTCGTACACCGACCATTGTGAGGATCGGCGGAGGCCAACTACTTGGTCATAACGATGAAGAAGCACCTGTAGTGCCTGATGAAAACGCTCCGTGGGAATGGACGTGAAGAAACCGGACAGGTCCTGAGACACCAGGTGGATGTATTCGGCGGGATCTGCCTTTGACAGCGCGTCCCAGAGCTGTTGGACAAGTTCTTGGACCGAAAGCTGACCTGGTATGTCAGGAAAGGTAACTTTGGTAAGTTCAAAAATGAGGGCGCCGAAGACCGTGAGGAAGGGTGCTGCCCACGTGCGAAAGAAAGAAATGATGGGTCTTGCTTTCCGCCAGTCCTTGGTCGGCTTTGGAAGGACGCGAGCTGTAGGCAACGGTGCTTGAAGTCGAAGTCCCCACGCGTAACGCTGATGTAGGAGGGAAGGTATCGTAGTGACCACTTCGGAGCGAAAGGATGCTGCAGATTCCCGACACAGCGAAAAGACTTCTGCCGAGCAGAAGGTCTTGAAACAACGAAGGACAAATCACATGTGCACGAGAAGGAAAATGATCCGCTGGAATTACAACCCACGAGGACAGAGAAGCCACGGTGCGTTGTAGTGATGTGGATGTCCAGTAAGCACGATCTTGAAGGTTGGATCGATGGGTATCAATCAACTGAGTCAAAACAGGCCGTAGATCAGTAAGAAGACTGGAGCCATGTACATGCCACCGACGAGCTAGTTTGCGAAGCTGTGTGGTAAAACGCTGGTGCAGCAAGTCAACATCGCCGAAATACTGATCCTTCATGGACGCGGTCATGATGTCCATGTCGATGTCCGCATTGATGCGTGAGAACTCATCTACCATGACTACATGTTCATGTGCACGGTGTAGGTGGTGATCACCAATGTCCGAACAGCGACACGGAAAGGATATGTCAGGAGTCCATCTACGTTGCCATGTGCGGTAGTTGTAGATCCTGTCTCCCAAAGTGGCACTGCGAGTTTCCACCACCCGGATCTTTGGAAGAAATAGGGAGGGGAACAAGTCACGACGCGAAGCGACCCAACGTTGTAACCACGTGCCAAGCTGAGCTTTCCAATTCCGTACATGTAGAGGTGGTAGAAGTAGTTGTGTCAAAGTGCTTGGTGATTGGAGCTGTCGTTTGCGCATCACCTGGGCAAGGAACTTCTGTGCTTTTGAACGAAAGGGCTCGTTGACGAAGACGGAGAGTCGCAGGAAGTAGTAGAGCTGAGTGGGAGGAAAAGCCGCCGACAGTAAGTCTCGCATGGCCTGGAACGACGCGCCTGTGTTAGATCCCAGCTGATAAAGAGTGGAGTAATGCGCTTGAATGTCATCCAACATTTCAGGTCGTAATTGCCGTTGAAGATCTGGATGTAGTCGTCGTCGAAAACGTTTGTGTAGCCCGAGTGAGGTGGGAGATGACAACGAATGACGTCGAAAGTCAACTAGATGCTCCCGGAAGCCCACCTTTCGAAGAAGTCTATGTACCCAGGGTGCATTCAAATGTGGACGCAGCAAGTATTGCCACTTGCTTTCCTGGACCCAAACCGAGGAAATGGGAAGTTTGATCTCAACCGGAATGGCACAGAAAAGCCAGTAAGTGTTAGTGCGCTTCCAGTAGTGAAGTGCAGGTTCGAAGAAGGCATGACGTCCCCGAAGTAGTTGTAGAAATTTGCGACTGCGTGAGTGTTCTCGTCGTAGAACATCCTGATCAGTTGCACCAACGTAGTATGGAGTGTGCCATGGAGAAAGTCGGATGTAGACGCATGGTTGTTGATGGTGACCTGGATCGTGAATGAAGTCATAGAGGTCTGGGAAACGTGTCCGTAATGAGCGAAGATGTCTTGTGTCTGCAAAGGTGGAATGCATAATTTCACACAACAGAGACGTCTTGTAGAAGTGAAGAACCTCGAAGAACGGCGGGACATATCCATAATCTTGAGAAATGAGACGCTGCAGGAAACTGATCAATAAATAGGCCGTGCGCCGGCACCTGTGAAGTTCATACCTGTTGGCCACAGTATGGTAAGACTGTGACATGGCATGAATCGGAATCTGAAGTGCAATCCGGACCACAACTAGTACTTCCAGAATAAGGCCCAACCAAGGTAGTTGTACAACTGACTCATATTCATCCATTGGTATCGACGGTGGTGGAAGTCCAGGAAAGCAGTATTGCCAGCACGTAGAGAACATTGTCAACGAGTGCAGAAAGGTGTCTAAGGAATGCCATTGTGCAACATCATCATAGATTCCACAGCGGCAAAGCTCAGCCAACATGGTGAAAATGCAACCAATGAAATCTACAGTGTGGCGGCGACATGAATGCAAGCGGTAATTAATACCAAGCAATTGACAACGCAAGCACAGACAAGCGCATCATCAAACAAGTGCAAAGCAAGAAGAGGACGTACGAGTTTTGAACCTTTCCTCAATCGTGACTCAGCTGCCGCTCCGGGCTCATAAGTGATCGAAGGGAACTGCTCACTCACTGAGTAAGCGGGCGGTCACGATGAGGTGACACAGCGCCTTGTCAGCGAGCTTGGTGAGGTAGCCAGGCTCCAGTCCCCACAGAGCCGCCATCGCCGCAAACGTAGGTGCGTCTCCTTTTGGCATGCGTTGACGCGCCTGAAAAAGTTGCATCGCCATGGAATCCAAGGACTTGTTGCCGTTGAGACGGGACGGGTGATTGGCCCACTTGATCAATGACGCCAAAGTGGTGGTGGTGGGCGATTGCTTGAGATACAAGCGTGGCTCATCACTAGTCCATGTGTAGTACTTGATGACGTCATCCGGCGTGCTGTGCATGGTGAGCAATTTTGACGCCGCCGGCTTGGAAGGCGGTGAAGAAAGTCCGTGAAGAGACTGAATGATCCGGGGTTGCACCGCGCCATCAAACGACTTGCCATCAAGGGCCGCTGCGCTGACCGTAGGGAGGGAGCTGGGAGGTGACGAAGATTCTGTGTGGTTGACCGGTGGCGGTGTAACCAACTCTGCATCATCCTTCTGGTTTGGCACCGTGGGGGAAGTCGAAGCACGTAACGATGCTGAATACTGAGCCTGGAGCAACTCATGAGCACGGTTTAGATCATTGAACTTCTTGACCATGTCATCCGTTTGGGTAGAGGGCGTGAGAGTGGCGTGGTGTCGCTGAAGAAACTGAAGCACCAAGTTGGCCAAATGGTCATGAACCTTGATCCGCTGATTGAAGTCGTCCAGGTTGAGCCCCAGTGAGCTGGCAAGGTCCTTTTCCAAGGTAAGCAGGTTGATCGACTGGGATCGTCGTAGTAGTTTGGAACAGGTACTCCAAAGTAAGGCCTCGGTGCGAGTGCGAAAGCCTTCCCACGTCACGAATCTGCCGTGAGCAAACGGTCGGAGCAGCCAGTTGGTGATGCCCCCGTGAATGACCTGAACCAGGCGAACGTCACGAATCTCCATGCCGAACATATCACGTAGGTTGTTGTGCGGGGTGTTGGCGACCGTCATGGGCAGGCTGAAGTTGTAGAGCTGGTTGATGTCCAGCATGCCATCTCCAGGTGTCCAGTCAACCGATGGTGTATATATAAGCCAGTCTTTCTGAGGTCGAACTGGCAGGGCTGCAGGGTATCCAGGTGATGGTGTAGCTTGCGAGGGAGTGACCGGTGGTGGCATCACGGGCATCATGAACTTCGCTGGCGTGGGCTCTGGAGGAACCGGCATCATGTAGTTGACCGGTGAATGATGGAACTGCTGCGTGGGGTTTGGAATCGATTGATAATTGCTCGGCATCACCGGGAAATTGTTGCCGGAGTTGTAGCCGGATTTGTGTTGCCAGGATACCAGGTTGTTCCAATCCATGCCCTCCGAGACCTGGTTGTCATTGTGTTCACGTCGGCGTGCTTTACGAGCTTGAGGGGAAGTACTCCGATCACGTCTGCGTCGAGTCCTGGATCTGTCACGATCATCACGTCGAGACATGGTGGCGCAACCAACTCACAACCGCAACACCTCAATCTTGAGAGAAACGAATCCGACAAAATGCAAGTCAATGCAAGTTCAAGTCAGCAGCCATCGGCAGCAATGGTGAGACGTCTCTATGATCTGACGGCTGTCTTCCCTTTAGTGAAACCTCGTTCCTGGTTAAATGTGAAATTCCGCTGTTCTATGATAAGTACGTTGAGGTCAAATTTTCCGACAAAGCCGGCCCGGGGTCACACAATGGGTACACCCGAGGATTCCCCATGACTGGGGTGTACACACTTAAACTCCAGATGGAGGGTGCTAATCTTTCGAGTACAACTGATGAGTCTCGAGTACAACTGATCTCGACTGGGTTCTGCTCGCGATGCACTCGGCTTCCCTCTAGCAGCGAACACGTTACCCGAAAGAACAAGAAGCACAAACAGCGCCGCAACCAAGGGGCCAAAAGGACTTTCAGAATCACTGAAGCAGGTACAAGATGCTGCGTCCAGCATCTCCTCCACCCGATTTCCGTAGCTTCGTTGGCACGGCTTGGAAATCAGGCGCCGTGCCCCCTGCGGTAAAGGTGAAAGCTTGATGTTGGTGACAGGGTATTCTGTCACTCCGCAAACACACACAGACATGCACGCGCAGACACACGCACAGAGACACGCACAGAGACACGCGCAGAGACACGCACAGAGACACGCACGCACAGAGACACGCGCAGAGACACGCACAGACACACGCACAAACACACGCACAGACACACGCACAGACACACGCACAGACACACAGGCAGACACACGCACAGACACAGGCACAGACACACACACAGACACACACACACACACAGGCACACAGGCACACAGACACACAGGCACACAGGCACACAGACACACAGACACACAGACACACAGACACACAGACACACAGTCACATAGACACATGACAGCTTGTTCCGGAGACCGCCATCTTCGCGAGAAAAAAAACTTTCGCGGACCCTATCGCGGAACTTTCGCGGGGCTGTTTTCAGAACATTCATGACAAAAGTAGTATATAGACGAAGTACACTTTCGCAGCCCCAGCTCAAAAGCCGCAGCTTTTCAATACGAAAGTAGTACAAAAAGTAAAATTCCGCAGCCATGAATGTCGCAGCTTTTCAATACGAAAGTAGTACATGAACTAAACTTCCGCAGCCTCGAAAGTAAAAACTTTCTAATACGAAAGTAGTACACAAAGTAAGCTTCCGCAGCCCAGCTCGAAAGTCGCAACCTTTCAGTTCCAAGGTAGCACGCGAGACACAGAGACACAGAGACACAAAGACACAGAGACACAGAGACACAGAGACACAGAGACACAGAGACACAGAGACACAAAAACACAGAGACACAGAGACGCAGAGACGCAGAGACGCAGAGACGCACAGACGCAAAGACGCACAGACGCACAGACCCACGGACGCACGGACGCACAGACGCGCAGACGCACAGACACACAGACACACAGAAACACAAACACACAGACACACAGACACACAGGCACACAGGCACACAGGCACACAGGCACCCAGGCACACAGACACACAGACACACAGGCACACAGGCACACAGACAAACAGACACACAGACACACAGACACACAGGCACACAGACACGACACACAGACACACACAGACACACACAGACACACACACACACACAGACACACACAGACACACACAGACACACACAGACACACACAGACACACACAGACACACAGGCACACAGGCACACATGGGCACAGACACACAGCCACACAGGCACACAGGCACACAGGCACACAGACACACAGACACACAGACACACAGGCACACAGACACGACACACAGACACGACACACAGACACACACACACACACAGACACACACAGACACACACAGACACACACAGACACACACACACACACACACAGACACACACACACAGACACACACACACAGACACACACAGACACACAGAGACACACACAGACACACACAGACACACACACACAGGCACACACAGACACACACAGACACACACAGACACACACACACACACAGACACACACAGACACACACGGACACACACGGAGAGACACGGAGAGACACGGACACACACACGGACACACACGGAGAGACACGGACACACACGGAAACACACACACACACAGACACGCAGACACACACAGACACAAACAGACACACACACAAACACACACAGACACACAGGCACACAGGCACACAGGCACACAGGCACACAGGCACACAAACACACAGACACACAGGCACACACAGACACACACACAGACACACAGACACACACAGACACACACACACACACAGAGACACACACAGAGACACACACCGAGACGCACACAGAGACGCACACAGAGACGCACACAGAGACGCAACACAGAGACGCACACAGAGACGCACACAGAGACGCACACAGAGACGCACACAGAGACGCACACAGAGACGCACAGACACACAGACGCACAGACGCACAGACGCACAGACGCACAGACGCACAGATGCACAGAAGCACAGACGCACAGATGCACAGACGCACAGACGCACAGATGCACAGACGCACAGACGCACAGACGCACAGACGCACAGACGCACAGACGCACAGGCGCACAGACACACAGACACACACACACACACACACACACTCACCACACACCACAAACACAGACCACACAACACACAACACAAAACACACACAACACACACAACACACACAACACACACACACACATCCATCTCGTATGGCGAAGTGGCTGGCTTGGTATGCGCAACTGTTCCGTTGGCTCCGGCTGGAATCCTGGGCCCCAGAAATGGTCTTTGGAGTGCCATAGTTTGTTATTGCACAAAGGGAAAAGAGGAAAAGCATCATGGGAATTGCCCTTTGCATCACACCATCTCAAAGGCCAACCTTCAAAATGGGTTTCCGATAATTTGGTGTCCCTCTCGAACAACCCATCCAAACCGTGTAGTTCCACAAGGCGTGTCCCTCTAAAACCCATCCAAAACAGGAGGCCCTCGTTCTCGATGGATCCGTGCGCCTTGCCAGGTCCAGGTGGACCAGTCATAGCTCTCGGCCATTGGCATCTCCGGCCTCCGCTCGCTGGTGCTCAGTAGGGAATGAGGGAATGAACCTGGGAATTCCCTTAAAGGAATGTGGGATTGAGTCTTCCTGAAATTCTTGCTGGAAGGAATGTGACTCCTTAACTTCTTGATGGTGATCAAAAGGTAGGGAATGAAAAATCGAATGAAGCAAAGGGGATTCCCGAGTAAAGGAAACCATAAGGGATGGCTTTCGTCGGGGTCATTCCATTCCTCATTCCCTGCAGAGCACCAACAAGTAAAAGGGTCTACCCAAACCAATGTAAAGAACTACAAAGGCGGATGGATGTCTGCACCTAATTCTGGCTGGAGGTTGTTGCCGGCAGAAGACGAGCAGAATCCCAAGGTGAGTCACAATCAAAACCTGGTATTAAATGGTGTACCCAAACCAATGCAAAGAATTACCAAGGCGGCCGCACCCATTTATGGCTGGGATTGTCCCTTACTAAACTTCATCTACCCGGGTTTTGATTGCTAACCTTCATCCGCTCGGCTTTTGATTGTGGCTCAGGTACGTTTGGTTGGTTTCCAGCTGGTTTTTCTCAAGTTGGTTGGGCCTCAGGTGTTTCTCAGAATCGCGCAGTTGCGGTCCCTAAAAAAATTAGATCTCCTGCCCGCTCGCGTCAACTACAGAAACAGGTCCAACCCCCAAGCTCAACGGGGTTGATCATGGCGCGTGTGGGCAGCTCCTTGAGCAATCTGAGCTCCTTGCTGCTGGCTGCTCTCCGTCCACATGTAGGACTGGCCGGGAGATGCCGGGGTCCAAATGAGGGGAGGACCAAATGTTCGAGGAATTACAACAGGGGTGCCCCCAAAAAGGCGGCGAGCGCAGAAACAGGAAAATTATCAACACCAAAGGCGGGCAACCGCGGGTCTACCGGCAACCTTGGTGGTACACATCCGTGAACCAATGTTCAGTCTTGGCTTGCTTGAGCCATGCCACGTCTAAAGATCCTGGAAATTGTTGAGACGTGCAAAACCAAGCTTTCCCCCCAACTGGGTGTTTCTCAACATCCCAATAGCACTCTCTCTGATTTGCCCATGTCTGTGACTCTTCCCCAGCGCAAAAATGGGAACAACTGAACAACATCGTCTGCAAAAGGGGGGATGGACGCAAGAGACATGCCAAGGTTCGGGTAAATTCGGTGGGTCCTCGGCATGCTGCGTGCGAACGAAGCGAACGAAGCCCAAGCGGAGCGGCCTGATCCTGGTATATTGGCGGAGCCGTAAAGCTTGCTTGTGGCGGCATGGCGGAGACGATGGCCTCAGTTTCAAGTTTAGCAAGCAGTCGTCGTGTTTCACAAGCATGTCGAACAACACAGTGGAAAAGCATGTCAAACAACACGGTGGAAAAGGAAAATGAGCGGGGGGGCAGAAAGACAGGAGAAAGAGGGACATGGAGGGAAGTTAGGGGGAACCCTTTCAATGTCAGGAGCTCGATGTTGGCGCCAAAACCCAGGCACCCAGGCACGCCGAGACCATCCCTGCTTGTCACCCAGCTACGCTGGATGCAGTGTCGTACGGCTCGGCAGTCCAAGCGCGGAAGTCAGCCATGAAATATCGTAAACTACTCTCAACAAGTAGCGGGTGGACATAAACCCCTTGACCAATCAACCCTCAACCCCCTAGCAAACCCTTGCAAGTCCTTGCAGGCTGAGTCGCCATTTCGGACCATCCATCTGAGCCGCCGACATGGACTGCATGATAGGCGGCCATCGCCGTGATGGCTTCGGCCTGGTTTTTCAGATGAGTCAACCGCCATTGTGTTGACAAAGCCGAATGAGTCATAATCAAAGCCCGGTATTAAAATGGTCTACCCAGAACTATGTAAAGAACTAAGGACCATTGTTCTAGGGTTGGAATGATGACCACCATTCTAACCATTCGTAAATTATTGTTCTAGGCTGAGTCATTCAACCACCATTCCGTTCAACCATCCTTCTTTTCTCAAAAACAGGCAACTTGTTCTGCGCTTTCCGAAAGGGATTCTGGCAAATTGTTTTAAGAAGGATCGCTGGCCATTAGAATTGTGTCGACAAAGGTTTTCCATTCTCCTTTCACAGGTTCCCCTTGAAACCGATGAATGCTCTACCGATTCTTCTCCAGGCTCGCAAAGCGCCGCCACAAATTGCGTTTCGCTAAGCTGACAACTCCACGTTACAAACATTCTCCCATGCATTTTTCACCCCAAAAAAGGGTCCCCGAAGAAATCTGCTCTAAACACGTTTGGCTCTTTGGGCTACATCTTACTCTGCAGGGGCGTACTTGAATTGTTCTATAGTCTAGTTATCTCTCGACAGGTTCAACATCATCACAAGGGTATCACTACAGCCTCTGACTACGGCACCCTCTTGCTATCAAAAAACTCTTTTCATGGAGCTTGCATGTGTCCATATTCAGTTGACACAAATCATGCTTGTGTGGCGTCTCACCCAATGCACAGCTGGAAGTAGGGCCAAACAACAAGCGTTGTGATATATATATATATATCTGCCGACATTGCTCGGCGTGTCGGACACCTAAGAGAGGATAGAGGATAACCCCCCCCCCTAACCCCCCCCCCCACCCGACGTCTGATACGTCGGGGGGGGGCCCCCCCCCCCCAAGGACCGCGCGGCAATTTGATGACGTTCCACTAAACGTAGTCTTCGGGGACCCGGTGTCGCAAAACAGGGGTCCCAGGCTCGATTCCCCCTGCCGGCTTTTTTGCTGGCTTGGGCTTCCTGCATCCTTTTGCCGAAAATCTGGAAAAACTCTGTGTTTTTGGACATCATCTTTGCGAAAACGCTGGAAAAACAGTGTTTTTTGCGTGAAATACTGGGGAGCAAAGGGGAAGTGCAAGGATACATACATACATACAGACATACATACAGACAGACAGACATACAAACATACATACATACATTACATTACACAACATCACATTACATTACTTTAAATTACATCGCATTACATACATACATACATACATTACATACATACATACATACATACATACATACATACATACATACATACATTACATACATACATACATACATACATACATACATACATACATTACATTACATACATTACATACATACATTACATTACATTACATTACATTACATTACATTACATTACATTACATACATACATACATACATACATACATACATACATTACATTACATACATACATACATTACATACATACATACATACATACATACATACATACATACATGCATGCAAGCATACATACATACATACATACATACATACATACATACATACATACATACATACATACATACATACATACATACATACATAACATACATACATACATACATACATACATACATACATACATACATACATACATACATACATACATACATACATACATACATACATTACTTACATACATACATACATACATACATACATACATACATACATACATACATACATACATACATACATACATACATTACATTACTTACATACATACATACATACATACATACATACATACATACATACATACATACATACATACATACATACATACATACATACATACATACATACATACATACATACAAAACATTACATACATACATACATACATACATACATACATACATACATACATACATACATACATTACATTACATTACATTACATTTCATTACATTACATTACATTACATTACATACATACATACATACATACATACATACATACATACGTACATACATACATACATACATACATACATACATACATACATACATACATACATACATGCATACATACATACATACATACATTCATTTACATATACATACATACATACATACATACATACATACATACATACATACATACATACATACATACATACATACATACATACATACAAACAGACATACATACATACATACATACATACATACATACATACATACATACATACATACATACATACATACATACATACATACATACATACATACATACATACATACATACATACATACATACATACATACATACATACATACATACATTACATACAACATACATACATTACATACATACATACATACATACATACATACATACATACATACATACATACATACATACATACATACATACATACATACATACATACTTACATACACATACATACATACATACATACATACATACATACATACATACATACATACATACATACATACATACATACATACATACATACATACATACATACATACATTACATTACATACATACATACATACATTAGATACATTACATTACATTTACATTACATACATTACATACATACATACATACATACATACATACATACATACATACATACATACATACATACATACATACATACATACATTACATACATTACATACATACATACATACATACATAAATACATACATACATACATACATACATACATTACATACATACATACATACATTACATACATACATACATACATACATACATACATACATACATACATACATACATACATACATTACATACATACATACATACATACATACATACATACATACATACATACATACATACATACATACATACATACATACATACATACATACATACATACATACATACATACATACATACATACATACATACATACATACATACATACATACATACATACATACATACATACATACATACATACATACATACATACATACATACATACATACATACATACATACATACATTACATACATACATACATACATACATATACATACATACATACATACATACATACATACATACATACATACATACATACATACATACATACATACATACATACATACATACATACATTACATACATACATACATACATACATACATACATACATACATACATACATACATACATACATACATACATACATTACATTACATTACATTACATTACATTACATTACATTACATTACATTACATTACATTACATTACATACATTACATTACATTACATTACATTACATTACATTACATTACATTACATTACATTACATTACATTACATTACATTACATTACATTACATTACATTACATTACATACATACATACATACATTACATTACATTACATTACATTACATTACATTACATTACATTACATTACATACATACATACATACATACATACATACATACATACATACATACATACATACATACATACATACATACATACATTACATACATACATACATACATACATACATACATACATACATACATACATACATACATACATACATACATACATACATACATACATACATACATACATACATACATACGAGAGAGGGAGATTGGGGAGAGAGTGGCTTGGGGGGATGGGGAGGATGGGGAGCGGAGGGAGGGAGAGAGGACGACAGAACACACCAGGGAGACAAGGGAGAGAGGAAGAAGGAGAAAAGGGAGACGACAATGTCGGCGGACTGAGCCGGAGGCTCTAAAGTATTATGACTCTTTGGCTTTCCTTTAAACCAACAGATTGAAAAGGGATACCCTCAAAAAAGACACACCCGTATCTGGCTGTGGGATGCTGTGGGTGATTCTTCCAGTCGCCTTTGCTGTTTGCCACAAATCGCCACGTCAGGTCACAGGTGGCAAAGCTTACCAGACTTCACCGAGTCAAGTTATGGACCTCCTGTTAAGTAGAGTATGGAACAAAAAATACCCCAGGCCTCTGCTTCCCTTGGTAAAACCACACAATTCAGCACCCGGCTACATAGAGGGCTCCTTCCGGTCCGGCGTTTTCCCAAAAAATATGTCATGGGGTCAAATTTGGCTGACCCTAACTGGGATCAAACACCTGGGTTCATGGCTGCTACACAGATGCTTGCGCTTGGCAAGCGATCGGCACCGGTTACCTTCCCAGAGCCCAGCTCTCCGACTCTCCGCGCCTGCAAAGGCAGCGGCGGAGCAGGCCGGCTCTTTGCCTGCCGGAGCATCGCCCAAGTTTCGGACCGGGTTGGGTTTCTTGGTCATTCATTTGTTCGTTAATTTCTGATTCATTCATTCCCTTCATTCCACTTAGTTCCAGGGGTTAGTTATTTTTCCGTTATTTACAACCATCGTTCTTTTCCAACCTGGGTTTTTGATGGTTTCCTGAAAAGAAGGATCCCTGGAAAGAATGGGGAAGGTACCCCTAGAGTAGTACCTCGGACCCTCAAAAACAAATATGGCTGTGGGTCAAAACCAATGGTACCACTTTGGGGTTGGTGCACCACCCATTTTAGAACCCATTTTAGTAGGGATTGGGATGTTCATTGGGGGATAACCGGGACTTTGACCCATGGCCATACCCTTCCAAAGGGTGCTGGGCATGTGGGTAACTTCAATTGTGAATTGGTGGACAGCAGAAATGCCGACCCTGCGGCATGTCCATTACCTGAGGGGGCAAATCGAAACTCATAGCCTGTCCCTGTGTAAAGGCCCTGAGCTCTCATGTTTGCCAAGTGGGCAAAGTCATCCGGGAATGAACAAATAAGGGCCTCTGTTGATCAAAGGTGGCCATGTTGTTGTCTTTCTTCCGCTGCCCATGTGTCGCAAAACCCGAACACACACACACAATTAACAGGTTACCAACCCCAACATACCCTAACACATGCTTACCATGCACAGTCGCCGTTGCGCTTAAAGACCGAGATAAGCTGTAGGTCAACAGGAACACCAAAGCCTCAGACTGCATTTAAGCAAAACCGTTTCATCGTGGCTTCACGCGCTTTGGAACCAACTCGAGCTTGAGCACAGCGACAACTTGGACGCCTCCCAACAGTGAAATGTTGCGCTTAGTACCGATCTCCGTGCACAACACCCAGCCGAGGCGTGATGTACTAGCGGTGGATGATGCCACCACTAAATGTGTTGTTCCAAACCGGGGCCTGTTAGTTGAGGGGGGGCAGAGTCCTATCGACAACAGCCAAGGCCCAAACCCTCCACAAATCAGCGCGAAACGGTATGTGTCAAAATGCCGGGACCCCAAGATTGTGTGTTGCCTTTTTGGTTTCTGTTCAAGCCAAGCCGAAATGGGTACAAGCAAAAACCATACGCACGCACACACAACCAAGCACTAGCCTTTCCAAAGCCGCACTGAAAGGTGAAGGGAAGCCTCGACGGACTGCTTCGAAACAAGAGGGAACCCATCCAAAGGGGCTCCCTTTTGGAGAGCCAAGGACTTATCTAGTGGCTTTTCGTGTTTGAGTTGGCCATGTCTCGATTTGGAATAAAGCCTCAGCTTTTGCCCCCAAAAGTAATATGTGTGATTCTGGCCCGTGTTGAGTGAGCCTATGCATCTACTCCAAACAGATCCCAAGGCAGACCTCCGTTTCCGGCGAATCATTCCGCGGAAAAACGGAAAACCCTTTTGGGCTCGAACCACAAACGGCCCGCAGGCCAGCCCGCAGGCCACCCCAATGATTTCGAGTTCCGAATGACAAGGAGATAGGGTTGTTCCTAAAAAATAGTCCTTCCGTTTGGTTCTGCAGATTTGAGAGGCCAGAATAAGTTGGTACCAACTTGTTTTTTTTTTCGGTTTTGTCTATTTTAGTAGGGACATTTTCCCCAAAAGAAAGGGAGAGAAGGGCACTACTGGGGGACCTAGATTAGCTTAAGCCCCCTGGACAAAATGAGAAACTGCTTCCAGTAGTGGAATCGGTTCCCTTTAAAACCAGGGAAAAGCAACCATATCAAGTGCCAAGTGGCCATCGGAAAAAAAGGATCCCTTTTTGGTTGGCCGAGTTTAAAGGGAACCCTTCCCCAAAAAATGAGAAAAGTTGGCGCTGGGCAATTCAGCAAATGGAAGACTCTGAGAAAAGAGCCGAAGGCCACCCGATGCGAATTCCTGAGACAAGGACCCACTTCATAAAAAGTGTCTGAACAAATCGATGTTCCACCAAGAGTGATAGATTCACTAAGAAACAACAACAGGAAGCAAAACAAAAACGTGACAGTCGTCTGACAGATTCCCAAAAGTGGATCCCGAACATTTCCACTTGCCGACGAGTCCGAGCCCTTTGATCGTCCCCTCCGTCCCCGTCCCCTCCTGCGGACTGGGCAGGAAGTCGAACAAGCGCAGCGGGGCGATCCTGAGTCACCGGGCTGTCCTCCTTCCATTTGCTTCAGCCCCTGGAAAAAATGAGAACAGATTTCCAGTCGTGAAATTGGTTCCCTTTAAAAAACCAACAGGGGAAAATACCAGATACTCATTTCAGCAAATGGAAGCCTCAAATCCCCGCGAAAAGTTCTCAGAACTTTTAGTGGGTTAATTTCGGACCCCCCCCCCCGCTAAACACCAGGCTAAGGGGATGGCTGGGAGCCACCAGGTCAGACAGCATTTATGTCAAATTCATGCCC